AAGTTTCGATTTGGCTGATCTGTCCAGTGGTGAAAGTGGAGTGGTCTCCCACTATTAATGTGTGGGGTTTTATATGTGGTTTATGCTTTAGTAATGTTTGTTTTACATATGTGGGTGCCCTTGTGTTTGGGGCATAAATGGAAACTTCATCTTGGTGGATCTTTCCTGTGATGCGTATTTAATGCCCTTCTTGATCTCTTTTGATTGATTTTAGTTTGAAGTCTGTTGTGCTGGATATAATGATGGCGACACCAGTTTGCTTCTTAAGACCATTTTATTGGAAAGTCTTTTCCCAGCCTTTTATTCTTAGGTAGTGTCTATCTTTGAATTTGAGGTGTGTTTCTTGTATGCAGCAGAAAGATGGGTCCTGCTTTCATATCCATTCTGTTAGCCTGTGTCTTTTTTATAGGTGAATTAAATCCACCTTATAAAGGGATATTAATGACCAGTGATTGTTCAAGCCTGTTATTTTTTGGTGGTAGTGTGTATGTACTTCTCTTCTTTGGGGTTTACTGCTGTTGCATTATCTATTGCCTGTGTTTTTGTGGGTGTGTCTGACTTCCTTAGGTTGGAATTTTCCTTCTAGTGCTTTCTGTAGGGCTTGGTTTGAGGATAAGTATTGTTTCAATATGGCTTTGTCTTGGAATGTCTTGTTCACTCTGTCTATGATGATTGAAGGTTTTGCTCTGTATATTAGTCTAGGCTGGCATTCATAGTCTGAGTGTCTGCATTACATCTGTCCCGGTCCTTCTGGCTTTCAAAGTCTCCATTGAGAAATTGAGTGTTATCCTGATTGGTTTGCCTTTATAAGTCCCTTGGCCTTTTTCCTTTGCTGCTCTTCATATTCTTTCTTTATTCTGTACATTTAGTTGTTTAATTGTTATGTGGTGAGGGTACTTTTTTGGGGGGTCTAGTCTGTTTGATGTTCTATAGGCTTCTTGTATCTTCATAGGCATTTCCTTCTTTAAGTTGGGAAAGTTTTCTTCTGTGATCTTGTTGAATATATTTTCTGTGCCTTTGAGTTGGTATTCTCCTTCCTCTATCCTTATTATTATTATTATTCATAGGTTTGGTCTTTTCATGGTATCCCAAATTTCTTGGACATTTTATGTCATGACTTTATTGGCTTTAGTGTTTGGTTTGACTGATGAATCTATTTCTTCTACTGTATCTTCATCGCCAGAGATCCTCTCTTCCATCTCTTGCATTCTGTTGATTATACTTGCATCTGAAGTTCCTATTTGTTTACTCAGATTTTCTATTTCCAGCATTCCCTCTGATTGTGTCTTCATTTTTTCTATTTCCCTTTTCAGGTCTTGGACTGTTTCCTTCATCTGTTTCATTGCTTTTTCATGATTTTCTTTCAGGGATTTATTGTTTTCTTCTGCTTTATTTGTCCTTTCCTCTAGTTTTTTATAGCGTTCTTCCCATTTTTCGTTGGTTTTTTCCTCAATTTCATTTGTGATTTCTTCTGTATAAGCCTCTACCCTCTTCATGATGTTATTCATAAGGTTGCTTTCTTGTGCTTCTTCCATTTTGTGATGTTCAGGTCTAGCTGTTGGAGGAGGGCTAGGTTTTAGTGATGCTGTATTGCTCTTTATGTCGTTGTATGTACTTAATGCCTTGACGTTTTCCCATCTCCTCGTGGATTCGTTCTTGGTCCAGACAGAGCTGACAGATTCAGGAAGCCTCTCTCTGTTCCAGATGGAAGCTCTGGGCCAGATGGGAGCTGGGGGCTGGTCTCTTTAAGTCTCAGGAAGTGGCTGGGGTCTCAGGAGAATGGGTGTGGGGGCAGGGCGTGGAGATTGCAGGGTCTGCCTGTGGTCTTAGAAAAGGGGAACCTTCCCGTGGGGCCCACCTGATGGCCAGAACCTGGGGCCAAGTTGGGCAGGTCTTCCTCGGAATGGCTGGTACCCAGGGATGGGACCTAGGGGCAGGCCTCTCTGGATATGGGCCCAGGCACTCACCTCTTGTCCAGATGGGAGATGGGGGCTGGTCTCTGAGTCTCAGGAAGTGGCTGGGTTCTCGGTCAGTTGGGCATGGGGGCAGGACATGGAGATTGCAGGGTCTGCTGGAGGTCATGGAGAAGGGGAACCTTCCTGGTGTGGTGAGAGATCCTGCTCGATGGCCAGAACCTGGGGCCAAGCTGGGCAGGTCCTCTCCGGAATGGCTGGCGCCCAGGGATGGGACCTAGGGGCAGGCCTCTCTCCATTCCATGCTTTTTTCTTTTTTTTTGGTTTTTCGAGACAGGGTTTCTCTGTGTAGCTTTGCGCCTTTCCTGGGACTCACTTGGTAGCCCAGGCTGGCCTTGAACTCACAGAGATCCGCCTGGCTCTGCCTCCCGAGTGCTGGGATTAAAGGCGTGCGCCACCACCGCCCGGCTTCCATGCTTTTTTCTTTATAAAAAAGTGGATGAACAGGAATAGGGGCGTCCTTTTTCCCGGACAGAGTGCTTCCAGCTGACTTGGTGGGCGTTGATTGACTCTTTTGGGAAGAAAGGGGGCTTCTGAGGTAGAAAGGCATCCTGGGATGGTGGGCTGTCATCTGTTCCCTTGGAGCTGTTCATTTTTCTTGGCTGGGCTCTCTGACCACTCGTGTCTGACAGAATGCTGTTGAGACAGAGAAAAGCTTAGAAGAAATTATCATTTTTATTTTTGCCTTTGGGGGTTTCCTAGAGTGATAGAGGGGGTCCCCAGACCAGGAAAGTTTGGGTTTGGCACTTATTTGAAGTAGATCCGACCTGTCAGATGAGCTTAAGCTGGTCTTTGGAGCTTAGGAAAAAATTTTACATATTAAGAAATAGGTGTGAGAAAATTAAAGTCTTGGTCTAGTGACCATTGTAGTGTTTGGTACTCTGCTTGTATTGGGGTTAGTGTTCCTTTATTAGTTTAACATCCATGAGACACAGGTGATCAATTTGTGAAAGTTTGTCCCTTTTCCAAAGATTAACAGGCAGGCCCGGAGCCACAAAAGGAGTGACAGTCCCCTGGTTTCCTTCCTCGTCCTTCTAGGAAAGTATCTTTGAACTAATCAAAGGATTATTGGACTGACCAATTCCTTTTAAATTGGTGAGGGATGGAACCAGTGGCCAAGTGGATGGCCAGTGAGACTGGGAAATGACTGTGACATCTGCCGCCCGTATCCAAGATACCCTGGAACTTCTTTCCCTCTATAGTAAGGGTAAGTGTAGGGCGATCCTGAGTGACAGGCTGGACTCAGTAGGCATCTGAGGACCCCAATTCGGCTGATCCCTGGAGGGTGTCTGTAATTGAGGGATTATCACAGACAGACGAGGGTGGAGGAACCAGCTGTGCCAGGCATGTACCTTGAGGAATTGTGACTGTGCTGTTTACAGTAGTGGCCTGAATCTCAATTTCCCCCGTGAAATCACTATCTATTCTGCCAGGGTAGACCTGGACCCCTCGGAGGGCCGCAGAAACACGGCCAAGGACAAGCGCGCAAACATCAGGAGGTAAGGGTCCTGTCACCCCTGTAGGGATGACCTGAGCCCCCTCAAGGGAGTTTAATACTGTTTCGGCAGTGGCACAAAAGTCCAATCCGCCACTGCCTGGAGTTGTTCTTCGGAGGGAGGAGAAGGGAACTGGGGTGGGGGAATTTTTTGAGGCTGTGGAGCTAGGGGGTGAGCGGATCTCAAGGCCCCAGGGTGCACTCCTCGTGGAGGCATCGGGGCCAGGGCCTGGCCCCTCTGGAAGTTTCCCGGCACCTGCAGAGGAAGGGGTTGACCAAGATAATTGGTTTTTGACTAGCCCAGTGACAGCCCTCGTTGCAGCGGGGGCCTTATAGACCCAGCCTCCTGGGCTGGCTGGGCTAAGGGCGCGAGGCTGTTACCTTTCTGGGGGCATTCCCTAGCTAAATGTCTGGGTTGTTTGCAGGAGTAACAGGTGTGGGCTCCAGGCTGTTCTGAAGCCCTCAGGGTGGCACCGATTGCTAATCCCATGGCATGGGCAGCGCCAACACCCAAACAGAGTCTGACGTATTCAGACAGGTCCACCCTGTTTTTCTTAGGGCGGAGGACTTCCTGGCAGGCAGGGTTTACGTTTTCAAAGGCCAAGTGTTTAATGAAGGTACTTTGGTTTTTGCCCGGCCCAAACAGTCTCTCGGCAACATCATTTAAGCGAGAGACAAAATCGCTAAAAACCTCATCAGGGCCCTGATGAATCTTTGCCAATGAGGTGGTAGCTGACCCCTCTTGGGGAAGGTGTTTCCAGGCCCGGACCCCAGCGTTTTGAATCTGGGCTAGGAGGCCGGGAGGGAATTTTGCCTGTGCTTCATTTGTATCATAGGGGGAGTTGCCGAGACGTTTCTTTAGCGTCCAAGTTTTTGAGGACGACTGTTAAATATTTTTTTGAGCAACCTCTTGACAGTTTTCTGTAAATTCTGTTTTCCAGAGGACAAAGTCACCCCCCGAAAGAGCCTCATGGGCAAGAAAATACCAGTCGTTAGGGGTCAACCAATGTTCACTCTGGTTTTCCACCAAGGCTTATGTAAAAGGAGGCGTAGGACCATACTGAGCCCAGGCGGATTTAAGCTTTTCAACAAGGCAGAAATTTAATTTTTGGCAAGTCTGTCCTGGCGGGGGGTCCTCTGATGATGGTTCCTCCTCCTCCTCCTCCTCCTCCTCATTTTGGTCTTCCAAACCCTCTGAGGGGCCGCTCTGGACACCCGCCTCAGATGAGTCCCCAGAGGTCTGGCTCCAGGTAATGGGAAATGCCAGGACAGGCTGAGACTTAATTTTTGATTTAAAATTTTTTTGAGATGGTTTTAGCGAGCCGGGAGCCACCGCCTCAAGGACGAGGTCTTTAAGTTCTTTGTCAATAATTTTTAATTCCCTTAAAAACTCAATATGTTCCCTGCAAGCCCGTCACAGTGAGCCGAGATCTGGGATGAGGGGGCAACTCATCAAGGATGGCCCGCAAACGTGGGAAGATGGAGAAACATAGGGAGGGGGCGTTGCGGAAGGGGTTACTGCTGGAGATTTTTGAGGTGGTTTAAAAGGGCCCAGGGACCCCTGTTTTAAGGGGAGATTTTTGTAGGGTGGCCAGTCTGGATTATGGTAATGGGCCGCCTCTTTCTCTAGGGAAGCTTCCTCGGTGGGGTCTAGAGGGGAGTTAGAGGTAAGATTATTACGAGAGGGATGAAGATGGGGAGGGGCGGAGTCCTGAGGATTCTTAGGTTCAGAAGTCATGAGCATTCCCTTTTACATAGAGTGCAGGTCGTGGTCCGAGGGACTGACTGAAGGCGCACGAGAAAGCACTAGGGGGGTCTTAGGGCAGGTAGAGGGGGCGCGGAAGTCTTCTTTTAAGATTTTTTCTCCTGTATTAATAACCTCTTTTCCATCTGGGGAATGTTTATGGACCCTAAGAATGTCATTAATAAGGTTCCAGTAAGAGAATGTGGTGACGGGGACCTTCTCTGGTCCAAAAGCCCTGCAGTAATCATCTAAACAGTCCCCGAGCCGTCCCCATGTTTATGGACACAAAGATCCATAAACATTCCCCTGACGGAAAAGAGGTTATTAATAAGGATGGAATGATAAGGATAGGAGACACAAAGGAAGACAGCAAGACAGGATTCTGATCAAGGTGCAACTTTATTTTTCTCCAAGAGGGTTCATATAACTCTTGCAGGGTAGGGGGAGCAGGAAACTGTTATCTACATGAAGGAAGTTAACACAGCTGCAGGATGTTTGTGCAAAATATTGGCAGGGTGTTGCTAGAGTTTTCCTACCTGGCCCACAGTCAGGACAAATCTCTCTCACCCGCCAGTCCCAAGCCGCTCAAACCCGATCAAGTAAACACAGAGACTTATATTGGTTACAAACTGTATGGCCGTGGCAGGCTTCTTGCTAACTGTTCTTACAGCTTAAATTAATCCATTTCCATTAATCTATACCTTGCCACATGGCTCATGGCTTACCGGCATCTTCACATGCTGTTTGTCATCATGGCAGCTGGCAGTGTCTCTCTGACTCAGCCTTCCACTTCCCAGCTCTATTCTCCTCCTTGTCCCGCCTATACTTCCTGCCTGGCCACTGACCAATCAGTGATTTATTTATTGACCAATCAGCAACACATTTGACATACAGACCATTCCACAGCACCTGGGTGAAAAGGCCAAGGTTTCTGTCTCAATGTCCTGTCAGGCAACCTGACTGCAAGATGTTCTTGTTCCCTATCTTATCAGGGGCCTGTATTTTTCCATTAAGCTCTTCTAAAGGTCTGTATTTTTCCATTAGCTAGAGGTTCTATCCTTGTCCCTGACACTTCTTGATCTGAGAGCCACGTCAATGGAATGGGGCTAGGGGGCTTGGTTGTGGTGGATCTCATGGCCTTCAGAATTGGGGGTGCATATGTTGTGCAGGGTCACGGACCACAAGACATGCCTTTTCATGGACCTTGATGTCATCAAAAAAGACCCTGTCATCTATAATTAGGACAACACTTATATCTCTGCCCCAGAGGTTTCTAGGTACATTGGAAATGATAGGGTGAATGGCTTCCCGATTGCCATCAAGATCCATCCAATGGACTGGATGGGTGTTCATCTTAGAATCTAGTAGGCCTCCCACACGAATCATAGTGGGGCCAGGTTTAAACTTCCATTGTTGGAAGTGAAGAACCCCAGTCTTGGTTAAAATGGTAGCATTTGCACTCTTGTCAACCAAACCTTTGGAAAGATGGGCATTCTTTAATAGATTTTGGGTTACCAGAGCCTTTTACTGGCAGGGCTGAGGAGTGCCTCACCTGGACTTTAAAGGGGCTGGTGTTTCAGCAAGCTGTGACCTGCAATCCTTTGCCCAATGAAATCCTTTATTGCATATGGGGCATCAGATCATAGTTTCTGCCCAGGGGCAGTCATGCCACAGATAGCCTGTTTTGCCACATCCCCAGCAAGTTCTGTCTGCCTGAGGACCCTTGGGAGTGTCATTAGTACCCTGCTTGTCAGTGAGGCAAGCATCCAGGGAGGCAGTAAGAGCAGCGATTAGACTGGTGCTGGGGTCAAGGTCTCTGGTGGCCTGCACCCATTTTTATGTATGTTTTTATACCACATAGCTGTATTACAGATTTGGGTATTGAGTCCCTCCCAAGTCAGTTGTTAATAGCACGTGTCTAGTGGGGCCCACATCCACTCTGTGCTCTACTGCCTCATTCACATGGGCCAAGAAGTTGGTGAATAGCTCCCCGGGCTGTTGGATAAAGTTGCGCAAGTACAGGCTCTGGGGGCCTTGAGGTCCAGGTCCGAGACTTGTTGAAAATAGGCATTGAAGCCAATCTGTGCCTGGTGCACTGGATGGACATATTTCCTACATTCATAGGTCACCTGGACATTATGTAAGATGTTCGTTCGGGCCTGGGATTCTGCCTGATCCTCATAGGCTGATTTTCACCTAAGAAAGACTTCAGGCTCTAACACAGCTTTAAAAGCAAATGGTACCAATAGAAATAAGTTTGTAACTGCATGGACCATTTAGCAATGACCTGCTGAAAGTAGGGGGAATCTGGGCCTGACTCATTGGTGTCCTTCCAGATGAAGAAGAGATCAGCTCTGGGGATGAGAATCCAGTGCTGGGCATTGGCATTTAGGCTCCCAGTCTATAAGGCTTCTATGGGCGTATGGACTGACAGTGGCGCAGACTGTGAGGGTTGTAAGACACCTGGCACCACGGGAGAGTAGCCACCTCCTGAGGCAGGCAGGTATTGTGGTAGATCACCCCAAGAATACTGCGGCAGAGGGGTAGCTGCCAGTGGTGGTGTTGGAGCAGAGGGGATAGCAGCACATGACTTGATAGCTGTCTTCTCTTTGACAGATTTGGCAGGACCCAAACTGACAGATAATCTCAGGGCCCAAACCGACAGATTTCCTGGAGGCTAAACTAACAGCTTTCCCGGGGCCCAAACTGACAGATTTCTTGGAGGCTGTAGTGCCCATGCTACAAAGCAACTCATCAAGTCGGAGTGAGGGGCTGAGGACAGGACAGCGGGTCATTCGTATCAGTAGAATGCCGTTTATTGAAGGGAAGCAGGGGCCTTAAATACAGACTAACAGCGTGATGGAAAAACCCGGGAGGGCAAAAGTTCACTAGCTCAGCCCTAGCTCTTTACTCAACTATCCGGGATGCACGGAACAAGGAACCTGCGGTTAGCTGTTTTCGAGGAAGGAACCAGCAGGAAATCAGCATAGGGAGGCTATCTGGTAAAGGTCAGTAAGCAAGTCAGCAGCTACCCAAGGAGCAGGGGGCCAGGGCCCAACACAAGCCCCTCTCAGCTCCTTTGCAGCCCCGGAAGCAGCACCCTCAGGGAGCCGGCCAGGGGTTGGCCCGGTGTCTATTTTAACCAGGCAGCCTCTGAGCAGCTTCTGAGAGTGGTGGTGAGACTGTGGAAGCCTTGGTCTTGGGCGCGAGCCGGTGTGCAGAGGCCTGGTAGAACGCTTCACTCTCTGTGGCTTTTTGCCATTCTGGGTACTAAGCTTGCCAGGGGAACTGGGACCAGACTTGACTGTTCCCTTGCTTCAGGAATGGAACCAGAATCAATGCAGAGGTTCTCCCTGGCTATATGGAACTTGGCAGATGGGTGCAGGTGCCTGCAAGCCATGGAGAAGGAAGGAAGGGAAGGGAAGGAACAGTATTGAGAGGTTATGGGCTGAATGGGTAAGTGCTTGATTGCTAGGAGGGGCAGGAATTTTTAAAGAGACAGGGAAGTGTGGGAAGTGTGGAAAGCGTGGCACAGCAGCCACACAGGAGGCTGAGGGTGGAGGCCTCCCAGGCATTTGGAGTTTGCCACACATGAGTGCCAGTTGGTGGGAGATTAAGGCAACTCCACGTAGTTAAAAGGGAGGTTTATTTTGGGGTAACTTACAAGTAAAGGGATAGGTTACAGGATCCAGGAGAGGTGAAGTGCAGTCCTATGGAAAACTGCTTGGTCTACCATCCAGGATCACCAGGAACAAGAGACCGGCACATCCGGACCTTGGTTCTCAAGGGCTCCCATCTTGGTCCTGCATTAGGGGCAGGTCATGGGTAGGCGTGACAGTTACCAGAAGCCTCACTGGAGGGTAGTACTTCCAGGACAAAGCTGGAACAGCTAGCTACCCACTACAATGTTTAGATTAATGTCCATGTCTGTAGGCTATTTATTATAAAGCATTATGATCTATATGTGGTGATATTCTATATTAGCAAGAAAGTTCTTAATTTTTTGTGAAGTAATATTTTCGACAATATTATAAGAGTATTCAAAATTTGTTAAACAGTTTCAAATTGTAAAATTATTAACTACTCTTACCTGAAGTGAGAGACTGGCTTGCTTTCCTTACTGTCCTTGGGATGGTTTTTTGGGTGTAGTAGCGCTTTTCAGCCAACATGAGTCGCCAGTGTCGTGCTAAAGCAGGTCCCACTGAAGACTGGTTGCAGCGGCTGCAGGTGAGAGTAGAGTGTCCCGTGTGCACCTTGGAGGATTGGTGGCAGCAGCATGGCGGCAGATCTTTCTGCCTCTCCCTGGAGCTTTAGGGCCCGGCTTTGCTTTCGTGGCCTCCTTAGCCCCTAAGTGCTCTTCCATCAGCCAAGAGGCTGACATATGGAATTGAGTGGCCTGAACTCGGGGTGGGGAGAGTTCTAGGCAGTGACTATGATGGTTGGCATCAGCTTCCATTTTAACTAGGCAGCCTCTGAGCGAGAGGGTGAGAAGGTGGAAGCTGTAGGCTCAGGTGGGAGCCTGCATGGTGGTGGGTGGCTCACTCACAGTGGCTCTCGCCAGTCCGGGGGCTCAGCTTCCTGCAGATCCTGGAACCAGACTCAGCCACTGTAAATCTTGGTTAGCAGATTTTAGAGAGAGAATCTTTTTTTTTGTATATTTCATTGTTATCTTTTAAAGCTTGTAAATCCTGGTTAGCAGATTCCAGAGAGAGAATCTTTTTCTGTAAGACTTCATTGCTATCTTTTACAGTCTATATCAGTCCCAATAATGACTCAGCTTTGTTTTTGTTATTAAACCTGTGTTTGAACACTGTGTGAATTATTACGATGAATGCCAAAATGGTACAGGCCAGATATACCTTAGAAAGTCATAGATTTCCAGGAAAATGTCATTAATCATATAAGGAAAAAGGTTTTTTAAATTCTTGTGAGGTAATGTTGTCAGCCCTATTACAAATTTGTTAGCTCAGTTTTGTTAGTCAGTTTTAAGGTGTAAAATTATCAAGTACTTTTACTTGAAATAAGATGCTGGTTTCCTTATGTTTTCGTGGTTTTGGGGGTGTAGTAGCACTTTTCAGCCAGCAGGAGGCATTGGTATAGCTCCAAAGCAGGGCCTGTTGAATGTCTTGCCTGGCCGCAGAGTGAGCATAGGCAGTAGGCAGTTCTTCAGGTGACTCCCTGGAGCTTCAGAGCGTGGAGAGTTCCAGGCTGCTCTAAGGCCCTCTCTGCCTCTGCAGACAGGAGATCTGCCAGCAGGCCCGGCTCCAAGCCCTCTCTGTGCCTCTGTAGGGTGCCACCGAAGGGGACAGTGCCATGTCTATTTTAACTAGGTGAAACTGTGGAAGCCTCAAGCTGGGGCGGGGAGCCGGCACTCAGGGAGGAGGGGGAACGCCTCACTCACAGCGGTTTCGCTGGTCTGGGGGCTAAACTTGCCTCAGAACTGAGACTGGATTAGCTCTTTTTCAGGAATGAAACTGTGCAGGTTTCCTGGAGCTCTGTAGGTGGTACCCTGCAGTTTTAAGTGCCTGCCAGCTGGGGAGGAAGCTGAGGGTGGGAGACACCCAGGCCTATGGAATTTGCCTCAAGTTGGGCGCCAGATATTGGTGAAATTATTAAGGCCACTCCACGTAGTTAAAATGGAGGTTTATTTTGTGGGGTAGCTTACAAGTGAAGGGATAGATTACAGGGTCTGGGAAAGGTAGCGCAGTCCAGTGGTGTTCTCTGGAGAACTCTGCTCGGTCTACTTCCAGCGTCCAGGGTCTAAGAACCAAGAGAGTGCGACGCATCCGGATCTCGGTTCTTCCAGGGTCCTCCCTTGGCCCCACCTTATAGGTGTGACAGTTACCGAAGCCTCAGTGGGGGTTGGAACTTCCAGATCAAAGCTGGAGTGGCTACCCACTACACCTTTGGGTGGGGAATGGAACCAGACTGGCTATGGAGGGGTTCCTTGGTGCCCACCCTGAGAGTGGTCAGCTATCCAGAACTCGGCAGGTGGGTGCATGTGCCCAATAGCCAGGGAGGCGGAATGAAGGGAAGGAACAGTACTGGTAAGTTATGGACTGAATGGGTAAACACTTGGTCCCCAGGAGGGATGGCAGTTTTAAAAGAGACAGGAAAGAGTGGGAGGTGTGGAAACTGTGCCATAGCAGCCATAGAGGAATCTGATTGCAGAGGCTGCCCAGCCATTTGGAGGATGCCCCACGTGAGTGCCAGATAATGTGGGCATTTATCAAGGCAACTCCTAACTTGCAGCCAGTAAGGGGGTTGTTTATAGAATCTGAGAGATGTGAGGTGCAGTCCAGCTGGGTTCTCTAGTAAAGTCTGACTTGATCTGCCATCCAGCATCCAGGTTCATGAGAAATGAAGAGGGCCAGACAGATCTCTGGTCTTGAGGGCTTCCATCTCGGCCACACCCCAGGGGCAGGTCATAGGTATGCGTGACAGTTACCAGCTGCCTCACTGAGGTGGTGCTTCAAGGTCAAAGCTGGAACCACTACCCATTACATACCTTGTATCCACATGAGTTTATTATGAAGAGCGCGAGAGAGAAATAGGGAAAGAAGGAGAGAGAAAGAAAACGAAGAGAAAGGGAAAGTGGAGTTGTGCACACCTCATGGTGGGAAAGGGAAGAAGAAGGGAGGGGTGTTTCCCTAAAGGAGCCTTACATCAGGACACAGGGTGGGTCCCCAAGGGATGGGCCAGAATGCCAACATCTTCATTTAGTTTCTTCATTTGCAAGCCGTTCATAGTGGCACTAAACATAGTCCTAACTCTGTGCACTTCGATTCTTGACATGCGAAAGTTTTTCCTCCTTTTTTAAAAAACCTAGTTCACTGTTTAAAATTTGTCGAGTGTCTTACGAGCTCTGATGATGTATGTGTGGTCTCACCTCACTGGGAACTGAGGTCACCTCTGAGGAGGTGGTCTGGAGCCGAGGGAAGTTAAGTGTGCCGCTTATTCGTTTCCCAGCCTCCCTCTTACCCGGAGCTCATCAGACACAGCAGGGAGTCATGTCAAGCAGGAACTCCTTTATTATTAGGCAGTAAACATCTTATAAAGCAGAAAACCACAGAACTCTGGGGGGGATGGAAGGACCAAACCAATTGTTCTAAAGGTCACCCTATACTCATTCCTTTTTCCAGGAGCTGTTTATGCACTGACATAATCTGGGTTTTGTATCTAATCTCAGTGCAAACAACTTGGGCTCACTTCTCTCAGTACCATTTGTATCTAATCTCAGCGTAAACAACTTGGGCTAACTTCCTCTCGGCACCATCTTTGTAGCTCATGTCATCCTGTATGCCCCACATGTATCTCCATCTGGCGTCACGATAGCACACACTTGTGGCTTGTGGAACCAGGGCCATTCTCATCGGGACGGTTTAGCTTTTGTACTTTGTGTTGCCAAATCTCACGTACTAGCGCGTAAAAGGCATCCTCTACACCCTGTCGGGTCTTGGATGATGTTTCAATGTAGGGGATGTCATAGCTGCGTACAAGGTCCTGGGCCTGCCAAGACTCAACAGTACAAGTGGCCACGTCACACTTGTTTCCCACCAGCACTATTGGCACATCGTCTGAGTCCTTCACCAGCTTACTCTGCTCCCTGTACTGATGGATGTCTTCAAAGGACTTGGTGCTGTTGTTGGCAAACACACAGAGGAAACCCTCCCCTGTGTGCATGTACTGGCCCCACATGGCACTATACTCCTCTTGACCTGCTGTGTCTAAGATGTCCAGCAGACATGTCTCCCCATCAATGATGACCTGTTTCCGATAGGAGTCCTCTATGATGGGGTCATACTCATCCACAAAATGTTTCTGGATCACCTGCATGGTCAGGGCACTCTTTGCCATGCCTCCAGCACCCACCACCACAAACTTGTATTCTGTCATCACTTCTATAGGGACTGTCACTCCAGGAGCTCCTGCCCCACAAGGGGCACAAAGGGGAGCAGAAAGCCCTAATTGGTGCCCGACATGGGTGTCCTTGTAGCCCCGAGGCTGGAGTGTGATGGCTGAAGGGTGTAGAGTAACTGAATATGGAGGCTAATTCTCCCTTTTGTTTTATTGTTAAAGGGTGTGAAATGAGTAACATCGGTTTGTCAGAGGATATTTGGCTCTAGGCCTCTGGGGTTAGCTCCCTGTGTTTGTAAAGGGGGTACCTTTAGGAAAAACTGGAGTGTACGTTTGGGGCGCCTACAAGGGGGGTATTGACCCATTCTATTGGCTCTCCTTTTTGCACTAGCACTGCAGAGGTTAATGTAGCGCTTGTGAACAGCCAGAGGGAACTGGGAAAGTCAGCAGAAATCTATTAAGAGCATCTTGAAATTGTAAAAGGATGGCCCAATGTTCTCAGGTAAGAGCAATAACATCCTGAGGTTTTTTATTTTTTTAAAGGGAGAATAAGGGTACAAGACTATTCTTGGAGACGGGAACCCAAGGTAGTATCAAATGGATCTCTCCCAGGATACTCTGCAACTGAGTCAGGGTCAAAGACACAGGAATGTGTAGCTTAGGCTTAAGTGGGCAGGTTCAGGTCAGGGTAAGTTTGGTGCCAAGAATCTTAAAGGGGGGCACCCTCCTCTCTGAAGCTGTGCAGTACCTGCCCCAACAAGTCCTGCAGACAAGAGGGGTCCTTATGTCCCAAAATAATATTATTCATATAAACAGGTACGCATCTATCTTATGCATCTCTAAGTAGGGGTACTAACAGGGTGGCCAGGTATTGTTGGCAGGAGGTCGGGCTATTAGCCATTTCCTGGGGTAATACAGTCCATTTAAATGTCTGATCAGGTTGGGAGAAATTGAGGGAGGGGATAGAGAAGGCAAACTTGGTACAATCATCTGGATGGAGGGAGATAGACAAGAAACAGAAGCATCAATCGCAACCAGGGTATATTCTGAGGGTATTGCTGGCACCCAGGGCAGACCCCTCAAGGGGGGCCTACCAGCTCCATCCTCTCATTTACTTTACGTAGATCCTGTAACATGTGCCATGCTCCTGACACTTTTTTAATAACCAAGACAGGTTATTCCAGGAACTCATGGAAGGGCGCACACATCCAAGGTCCAATTGTTCCTTAACCAGAGCCTCTAATTTAGGTTTAGCAAGTGGCTACTGCTCCACCCATACTGGGTCACCCAGCCTCGACCTGATAGGGGGTATCTGGGGGGCAGTGGCCTCTAGGAATTGTGGTAAACCCAGGTGGAATTTTGGGGTCATTTCTATAGTGGGTGAAGAAGTCCTCTCCTTTTATCTCCTCTGCTCCCCATCCCCTTCCTTGGGCCTCTTCTTCCTCCATAATATCATAGAAAGTTTGGTGGTTGGTGGTAAGTACTGCATCCATTTGGGACAACATATCCTACTCCAATAAGTTGTCAGTAAGATTCCCAGACACCAGGGCTCATGTCTTGTCCTGTTCCCCATCTGGGCTGGTCCATTTGAGGAGAGTGACTGTTTTAAGAGATTGAGCATTAACCGCTACTCCCAATACTCAGGGTCCCAGAGTCATGTCCCAGTCAGGGGGTACCTCCTTCCAGTGGAGCATGGTCCTGTCTGGCCCTATATCACACCAGGAAGTGGAACCTTCTCCCACCTATGACAATACTCATCTTGGGGCAGTGTCCCCAGACCAAAGGAACTGTCAGTTGGCATGGGCCATTCTGGGGGGCCATGCCTGCCCTCCCCCCCAGAGTTCCTCCTTTGGCTAACAGGGCTGGAGGACGCCCCTTACCTAGTTTAAAGGTTTCCCATCTATATTGAATTTTGACCTGCAGTCTTTTTTCCAATGATATCCCTTCCTGCACCTAGGACAAGGGGTGGTAGGGGGCTTTATTGTCCTTGGCCTAACCTAAAGCCTTTTGTTGACCTGTAGGAGGCTGTTGCAGAGGACACTATCGCTTAAAATGTCCCTCCTGTCCACATCTACAGCAGGCCCCCGGGTAGCAGACTTCGCAGTCCCCAGACTCTGGGTTGCCAGGGCCTGTGAGAAAGCCTGAGTTAGAGCAGCTGTCTGGGATTATGTTAAGACTAACATCTGGGTCTGGTGATGTTGGGTGCCCAGATCCTGGGTGGTGACCACCCATCGGCCCATGGGAGCCTCTTTCAGCCCTGCATAGGCAGCACAGTGTTCTGTATTCATTCCATCCCAGACCAGAATCTATAAATTGGTCCCAGAGTGGTCCAGTCGGTAGTTACGATTAGTGCTCTGTTAACCGAGTCTATAAATTCTGGTAAGGTCTCATTGGGCTTCTGCCTGACTCCAGCTATGGGGGATTCTGTAGATCTCTCATCTAACTTACCCCAGGCTGCTAACCCTGCATGTCACACCTGGTCTCGATGTGGTGGACCCCAGTAGAGTACTCATCAGCAGTTCTCGCCAACATGCCATAAGTAATTAGGATTGCAGGCTGAGCAGCTTGATTGGCCTCTGTTCGGACTCTACATTCCTCCTTATAGTGGGCACACCATTCGATACATTGAGTGCTTGAACAGTCAGCCTTAGCCAGGTCCAGCAATCCTTGGGGACACAGGGATTATATGTAATATACTGCAGTAGGGTCTGGGACCAAGGGACATTTGGACCATCCTCTGCCACTGCCTTGTGGAGTTCCTTAAGGTTTTTGACCATCCATGGGTACAATTCTTGTGGCCTATCAGGGCTGGAGGCCAGATTAATGGGAAATGCCTGAGTTGTCTGTTCTCGGGGCCCTGTCTTTTGCTTCCCTTGGGGCCCTGTCTGGTTAATACAGGCCTCTGCGTAAGTCGGTTTGTTGACTCTCTGATCCCTGACTAGTGGTCAGTCATAGGTACCCTAGTTATGTAGGTCCCTTCTAAGGGTAGTATATGGCGAGGAGCATTTCCCTATTTTCGGGATGTAAGGCGGGGGGTCGTGTAATGACTTTACTCTTGGTCTCTTTACCCTCCTGGTCCTCTTTACCTTCTTTGGCCTCCCCTGGCTCTTGGGGATCTTTTGGAAATATTGCATTACCCATACAGAGGGTTTCACCCACCATGGAAGACTGCTTGGCCTTGGCTGAACGTACTTTCAAGCCCCAAGTTGACTGCCAGCTGTGGGGTCTCACCACATTGGGAACTTAGATCACCTCTAAGGAAGTGGTCCAGAATAGAGAAAAGATAAGTGCACCACTCACCCGATTCCCAGCCTTCCTCTTTCCTGGAGACAGTCAGATGCAGTGGGGAGTCATGCCAAGCAGGAACTTGTTTGTTAATAGGCAGTAAGCATCTTTTAAGATAGAAAACCACAGAACCCTGGGGTGGTGGTGGAAGGAATGAACCAATTGTTTTAAAGGTCACCCTCTACTCAATTCCTTTGTCTACGTGCTGTTTATGTACTGACATCATACTCATTCCTTTGATTTTTGTATCCAGTCTAATCTCAGCGTAAACAACTTGGGCTCCATCTAACTTCCTCTCAGCACCATCTTTGCGGCCCATGTACACCACAGATGTAGGCATAGATTTGCAGGGGTGATTAACTGCAGTGATGTTCATTGCTGACACAGTAGGGTCCACTGTGGCTACTGTCCTGTGCATGGGTGTGGGAGCAGTCTGAAGAGCTAACAGAGAAACTAGCATGAAAAAATCAATGTGACTAATAGCAGCATGGGACAGTACTGCCTGGCTCATCACTGGTAGGTGCTACCTGTGGCTGCTCAGCATGGTGGTGTAAGGCTGGGGGTGGGGCTTCTGATGCTTGAGGCCATGGCATTAGCAATAATAGCCTGTGCCCTAAGTAGGAGTGGCAGCAGTGATTCTGAGGAAATGGCTAGGCAGCTGGTCTAGTTCTGCTTGGTTCATTGCTTGTGCTGTCCATGCCGGAATCGCCTGGGAGGCGGCTGTCTGACTTGCTCTGCCCTGCCCAGGTATTGTGTGGGCTATTCAGGTAGGGTGAAGAAATGGCCTGAGAAATGGTTGGGAGAGGAAAACAGGCAGGAGAATCCCATTTGGATAGGAGTTGGCATGGGGAGGGGTCACTGAGCCACCTGAATGAAGGGCCAGGATGGAACGGCTGACCCATGTAGGAGAGCCGGTGGGTGGCTGTGCATATTGCAACTGGAAGTGCCCTTTTCTAAAGCTGGGAACACAGCAGCTCCACTTAGTTTACGTGGTAGTTAAAAGAGGTTTATTTAAAGGGGTGACTTGTAACTAGTAAAGGAGTCAGTTACAGGATACAGGAGAGGTGAGGTACAGTCCAACGTGGTTCTCTGGAGAACTCTGACTCGGTCTGCAATCCAGCATCCAGTATCACGAGGAGTCAGGAGAGCCAGCATGTATGCATCTCAGGTCTTATGGGCTCCCGTCTCGGCCATGCCCTATGAGCAGGTCATAGGCTTGCATGGCAGTTACCGTCTGCCTCGCTAGGGGGCAGTGCTTCAAGGTCAGAGCTGGAATAGCTATCCACTATACATATCGTGAAAAGCCAATGCCCTATGTTGGCAATATCATACCAGGTGTTAGGGTCCTTGAATCACCCCACAAAAGACCACTTACGTATGCAAAATCAAGAGTGTTGATTTCTCAAGAGAAAATTCCTGCAAATGGGGGTCAGGCATAGAGCAAAAAGGCAACAAACCTGAGAGAAGCTCGTAGACTTCTGTTAATCCCAGCAAGGGAATTCTAGATATGGTTTGGTCATCTCCAGCGAACACGGTTGCCTAAGCAAGCAATGGTTAAATTAGTTTAAATTTGATTGACTGTGGCATGTTTCAACATGTCAGGGAAAGGTCGGACATGTATCCAAAAAAGAGAAGGGAAGGGTTTTCAGGATCTGGGCACGGAGGCAGGTTGGAGGCTGCAGTTCCAGCCTCAGTGGTGAATGACGAAGTGCAAACTGGAAGGGTATAGCCAGTGTTATTTATTAAGCGGTTTAATGTTCATTAAGCGGCACTGTTTACCTTGTGAGAAAAGCCACTGGGTACAACAAAACCCACTATAAGAGTTTATTAAACTTCACAACTTGGAAAAATGCCAGGCCAGATTCTGCCCAAGGCCTGCCCAGTGTCCAGCTGCCGATAGTGTGAAGCCCAACAACTTGAAGGTGTTGGTGAGATTGCCCTACTGACTGTTCAGCTGAGATCCATTCGAGAGAGGTCTCAGAAGTCTGCAGTCTGAGGAAACAACATCAGCTGAGGAGTTGGCAAGCGAGCAGAGCACCCCGAGAATGCAAGAGAAGGAGCCGTCCAGCCACCGAACCAGGTCAGCAGAGTCATAAGCTGTGGGGGCATACATGGGCTGCAAAGAGGGTGCTGAGAGAAATTCAGATAAATGGAGCTTAAGCTTTAAGGTGTTTACACAGAGAGTGGATACAAATGGTACCAGAGGAAGTTAGTTTAAGCTGTTTGTGCAGAGAATAGATACAAAGGATGGCTAAGAGGAAGTTAGCTTGGGTTGTTTGTATGGAGATTAGAGACAAATGGTGAGAAAGAAAGTTAGCTCAAGTTATTTATACTAAGATAAGATACTAAAAACAGGAAATGGTGTCAGGACATAAACAACTTGTAAATAGGGTGACCTTTAAAATGATTGATTGGTTCCTTCACCCCCTTCTAGGGTTTGGAGGTTTTCTGGTATAAAAGAGGCTTACTGCCTATCAAGAAACAAGTTCTTGCTTGACTTGACTCTCCGCTGTGTCTGATTGTCTCCGGGTAAGAGGGAGGATGGGGAACAGGTGAGCTGTGTGCACTTACCTTTTCTCGGTTCCAGGCCACCTCTTCACAGGTGACCTAGGGTCCTGATGGGGCAGATCCCCACAATAAGCCCACTCTACACCAACTGGGAACAGGTAAGGCCCCATCTCTGGACTGGCAGACCAGTTCTCTAGACTCTAGGCCCCCGGGGGCACATTATGTGCCCCTCCCCCCAGCCATTGGAGCCCTCAGGAACCAGGTGGCTACCTTTCCCTGCTCTCTCGCCAAGAAAACCAGTCCCTGTGACCCCAACGACCACCGGAGTCATAAGCCCACCCTTCACTGAGTAGGAATAGCCATTGGAACCCCAGGGACTAGACAGCAACCTCTTTCCCTGCCCCCTTGTCAAGAAATCCATCCCATGGGACAACAACCACTGGATCCATAAGCCCGCCCTGTACCGATTGGGAACAGCTGCTCACTGAGACAGAATCCACTGACCAATTGGACTAAGCTGCTGTGAGAGAATCTACCCATCAGCACCGATTTAGACCAAGAACTCACGGTGGACCAAGACTATCAATTGGAACAAGAAGCATCCTCAGACATAGTCACCGCCTACATGGAGCAGAGGAAGAGATTCGTAGATGCCAGTGCAAAAATACAGGCAACAACATAAAGATCTATATGACAACATCAGAACCTAGTCTTCTACACCTGCAAGACCTGAACATACCAATACAGAAGAAGCAGAAGAAGTGAATCCTAAAAATGACTTTAAGAGGCTGATAGAGGCCCTTAAAGAGGAAATGAAAAATTCCCTTAAGAGGAAATGAAAAACTCCCTTAAAGAGGAAATAAAACATTGCCTTAAAGAAATTGAAGAAAAGGGTTGGGGATTTAGCTTAGTGGTAGAGCGCTTGCCTAGCAAGTGCAAGGCTCTGGGTTCGGTCCTTAGCTCTGGGGGAAAAAAAGAAATCAAAGAAAGCCAAGAAAAAGCAATTAAACAGATAAAGGAAAGAATTCAAGATTTAAAAATTTAAATTGAGCCAGGCAGTGGTGGCGCATGCCTTTAATTCCAGCACTCGGGAGGCAGAGGCAGGTGGATCTCTGTGAGTTCGAGGCCAGCCTTGGCTACAGAGTGAGTTCCAGGACAGGCTCCAAAGCTACACAGAGAAACCCTGTCTCAAGAAAGAACAACAACAAAAAATTGAAATTGAGACAATAAAGAAGACACAAACTGAGGCAATGGTGTAAATAGAAAATCTGACTAAACGAACAGGAGCTACAGATGCAAGCATAACCAACAGACTGTAAGAGATGGAACAGAGAATCTCTGACGCTGAAGACACAATAGAAAAAATAGAGTCATCAGTCAAAACGCTAAAACCAAAATAGTCATAATACAAAACATCCAGGAAATTTGGGACACCATGAAAAGAGTTTATTAAGGAAAGGGAATAGGAAAGATGTGCATAGGACTATGGAATGACCGTGCAGGAAGTGAGGAGAGGAATAAGTAATACCTGCTGTTACAGGTTCCCTCCCTCCCGCACATGTGCACATTGGCTTACGTAGCAACACTACACATGCACATAGATTATGTGATCACGCTGCGTGTAAATGACATGATCACACCGTGCACGGATTACGTAGAATGTAAGGCACTGGGATGACTAAGCATCTTGCCCCACTGTACATGTGGTCATGTAATTGGGGGAGTGGCAAGGATTTCTACCATTCTAGACTCTGTTTTCCTATAAAAAATGGTGGATGAATGGGAATGGGGGCACTGTGTCTCCAGAAACTGTTTCCAGCTGATATGAGTGGGCATTGGTTAGCTTTTGGATGTAGGGAATGGTGCTTTTGGGGTAGCAAGATGTCCTGAGGTAGTGGATTGTCCTCCACTGCTTTGGGAATTGTCCATTGCCTTTTGCTGCTTTGGGCTCTGTGACTGTATGGGTCTGACAAGGTACTGTTGAGGCAGAAGAAGGAGTTTAGAAAAAATTTTAACTGGGGGGGTCTCCAAGGGGTCCCAGAATGAGGGAGGGGTTCCTGGGATCAGGAAAGTTTGAATTATACTTATCTGAAATAGATCTGACTTATATGAAATAGATCTGACCTGTCCAGGTGGATTGAAGCTGGTTCTGGTGCTCGGAAGAATATTTAAACATATTAAAAAGCAGCCACAGGGAATTTAAAGTCTTTAGCTGGTAGCCATAGTATTGTATGTAATGTTTAGTACTCTGGTAACAGAATTTTATTGGTTAGTATTGGAGAGAGAGAGACAGACGGACCTGCAACGTGCTTTTTTCTTTGGTTAGAAATGATAAGCTTTAAGTCCCCTAAGGCTCTGGAGTGAGAGAGGGTACTGAGCTTGTGTAATGGACCTGGTAGTGTCCTGCTACAGGATTTTAATAGGCATATGGTGCCTAGGAAGGTTCTGGCTGTCTTAGACTTTGGGTTTACCTGAGAGGCTGGCAAGGAAAATGAAATGTTAGAGCTAGTAGGCTGGCTGGCTAGGAGGAGGAGGACAGGGGCTGCTGACAAGTGTGGAGTAAGGCAAATGAGGGGAGCAAACTAAAGAAAAGCTCCTACATTAGCCAGAAAATCTCTGCATTAGGGGCACAGGACAGGATGGCACAACTAAACATGTGTGGGTGAGAAGGATACCCCTGAAAATACATTTAAGTGGTCGGGTCTGGTGAGGTAGGTAAAGGCTGTCATCCTACCCTGACAGTAGAGAGATGAGGACAGGTGGGACCCCAAAACTCCCTCTGGACTCAGTAAGTCACTCCAGTGTTCAAAAGGAAGGAAATGGATCACCCTGATACTGTAATGACTACCCTAGGTTCCCTGTGAGAGATGGCACCTTCAGTTATCTATCACCAACTCTAGGATATTGACTAGAGGGTGGTCTTTGTTTGATGTCCCCATGCCACGAGCTGCATGGGGGCAGTCAGCTGACCAGTGTCCCTCTTGCTGACACTTTGGGCAAGGCCCAGATGGTGGCTCGTGTAGGGCAGGGCAGGCACAAGCCCAGTGGCCTTCTCTACCATACTTAAAACAGGGACCTAGAGGCATTTGACAGTTCTGTTTACGGGCATTCTGATCTCTCCCATGGTACACTGTCAATGCCACTACTAAGACTTCTGCCTGTGGGGTCAGAGGCTCTCTCGATAGATGCTTAAGCTTAGCCCTGATGTCGGGGGATAAGACAAAGTGGGTCATAAGGAGCTGTCTGCCATCTGGGCTCTCAGGAGCTAGGCCTTTGTATTGTAAAAGAGCCTTTGTAAGCTGTTCTAAAAGAATGAGATGGATTTTCTTTCATCTTGAATTATGTTTTTTAGCTTTCCATAGTTTACTGGTTTGAGGGCAGCCCTAGGAAGATCTGACAGGAGACAGGTTGTAAACCATGTAAATACCTAGTGAGAGAGCCACCCGATTATTGTAATCCCAATGTGAGTCCTGATTGGGAACTGCCTCGGCTCCATGTGGATGGGCGGCATTGGTTTGATGAACCTCATCCGCATGTGTACCAGCCTGCTCCCAAATGTGTCTGCACTCCTCAGGAAGTAGGTTATTAGCAAGATCATATATATCATGAAAGGTGCGGCTGTAAGAACCTTAACCAGTCCATCCACACTGGTCACCTCTCACAAGGGAGAATGGATGCTGGGTCTGCATGGCCAACGTCAGATCCCGTAGTAGCTTGAGAACGAGTAATAGGTGGTGTAAAGGCTGTCGCCAGAGCTGGGCAATTGGAGCGGCCCAATATTGGAGAGGAGGAGGGAGCTGGGGAGGAGCCAGGGCAACGGACTCCTGAGGCAGAGAGGTTCATTTGCAGAGTCCAGAGCAGTAAAGATTCCTTAGGTTAAGGTTCCGTGGCAAGGAGCATGTGAGCTGAAAAGAAGGAATCTAGAAGGCAGGGTTTAGAGCTTAGGTTAAAAAAAAAAAAGCTTGAATATAAGACAGCTTTTTCCATTTGCCGATTCGCTGGCAGGAATTAGATAATTCCTCTAAAATATTGGGGTCCAAGGAGCCATTGGGTGGCCATTTTTTATTGTTATCTAAGGGATATTTAGGCATTCCTCAGAGGAGGAGTGCGACTAATAGGAGGAAGTCTTATTTCCCATGACCGCGGCAGAGAGAGAGAGAAAAAAGTGATACAAGACTACAGTCTCCGGCATCCCCGAGTTCAAGTGAGGATCAGCGATTGGCACAAGTCAGTCAATGCTTCGTCAAGCCAGAGAATGAGGGCCAGGGCATTTGTAGCCCAAGGACGGGGGTCTGACAGTGGCAGGCACAAGTCATTCAATGCTTCATCAAGCAAGAGAATGATACCTCAGACCGCAGTCGTGGGAAATGCCTAGAGATTGAAGCCTGCAATGGGAGGCCGACTGTAGCCCATGAAGGGCATGGACAGGGGTTCCCCCAATCCCGGGGACACCAGAGGGATGCTGGGTAATCTACAGTTGTTCCAACGGGTCCAGGGGACTGTTTAACGCTGGCTGGAAAGGGAAAACTCACCAGTTGAAGCAGCTGGTGTTGTGTAAAGCGGTCAGGCTGCTAGGCAAATGAAAAACTGGGCAGTTTTAGATAGAGTAAACCTCAGTCCAGGGTCCTGGACGCAGAGCACTAGGAGGGACTGATTCGTTTCGGCACTGATGTTATTTACTAAGCTGCGTAATGCTATTCATTAAGCAGGGCTGTTTACCGTGCGAGAAAAGCTGCAAGGTACAACAAAACCCACTATAAGAGTTTATTAGGGAAAAGGATGTGCATAGGCCTATGGAATGACCGTGCAGGAAGAGAGGGGAAGAATAAGTGGAACCTGGTTTTTTAGGTCCCCCGCTGTCGATAGAGTTTTCCTGGTCCTGCCTGGCCCTTGGTCAGGACAAATCGCTCTCACCTGCTAGTCCCACAGCAGCTCAGACTCAACCAAGTAAACACACAGAGACTTACATTACTTGCAAAGTGTATGGCCGTGGCAGGCTTCTTACTATCTTTTCTTATA